CAAGAAAAGCAGCAAAAATAGGAGAGGGAAGGAGAGGTTCACTAGAACAAGTTACAGATAAGGGCATCATGCTAGATTTATGGGAGAAAATGTTTAAGTCATTTCGCAAGAAGATGACTGCAATAGTTGCCAATAATCTGAATGCTTTTAAAAAGGAAATGGAAGAAGGATTTACAGGGATAAAAAAATATATGAAAGAAGTTAAGAAGACTGAAGAATCTGAAGGACAATTGGCTGGAGATGCAAAACAAATTGATGACAAACTGGAAGTTTTAGAAAGTAAGACAGAAGTTATAAATAGTGAGATGGAGGAAGATTTGGGCAACGGCATTACTGGAACTGAGAGAAAAAGAATTTTGTTTAGCATTTAGAACAATTCCAGAAGTCCATGGGGAAGATATCAGAGAAAAGATTGTTAAATCTCTGTCTAACTTCTTGGATTAGGATGAAGATGAGACCGAGACAGAGATGATAAGGTTTATAGGATCAATACACAATTTGCAAAATTAAGAAATGTTCTAAGGGATTTCCTTGTACACTTTGTCAGGAAGAAGACTAGAGATCAGGTTCTGCAGCAGCACTTTAATACTAGTTTGAGGATTAAAATACAGATGTAATTGTACTTAAGGAAATTCCAATTAGAATACTGTGCAAGAGAAAATAGTATTTTTTTCTGACAGACAACTAAACAGAAAAAGATTAGATGGGATAAGTTAGAAGGGGTGATTTTTACTTTTAAACAGTAGAGATTCAGACTGAATTCTGTGCAGAAAGCAAGAGATTTCTTCAGAAAATTCAACGAAGAATTGGAGGAAATGCAAATGGAAGTGACAATGACATATGTGACTAAAGAAATGTCACAACAGATATAATAGGACGCTGACGATACTACCATGTTGGGCACTACAGGTATTGATTTTTCTAAAATTTTGGCATAATTATGTATTATAAATGCTTAAAGTGGAATATAAATGGAGTAAATGCTCCTAATTAAAAAAAATTATTATTTGAAAAAGTTAAAACAAGATGTGACTTGCTTACAAGAAACGCATATTAGGAAAAAGGATATAAAATATTTGAGTCACAAAATTTGGGTGAAGAATTTATTTCAGCAGGAATGAAAAAAAAATGCAGTTGTTTTGTATATGGAGGTAGTCCCCAAGTTAAGAATGCCTGGTTTAAGGATGTCCCATAGTTAAGAATGGAGCCTATTGTAGCAAAATTTGAGTTAAATACACAATGATTTGAGTTAAATACACAATACCACTTGTACAGCATTATACAGTAATACTGTTCTGGCTTACATAAATTTGACTTAAGGACAGATCTTGGGAACAGAACTTGTTCTTAAACTGGGGACTACCTGTAAAGTCAGTGTTGACTCCTGGCAACTGCCTGGACAAGTCCCTGCAGTTTTCTTAGCAAGATTTCAGAAGTGGTTTGCCATTGCCCACTTCCTAGGGCTGAGAGAGAGTGACTGGCCCAAGGTCACCCATCTGGCTTTGTGCCTAAGGCAGGACTAGAATTCACGGTCTTCTGATTTCTAGCCCAGTGCCTTAACCATTACACCAAACTGGCTTTGCCCTGACCAACAGCAAGCAAACCTTTCGCCATCCTCTTAGACTGCCATGATGGTTCTCCTGCCTGTATAATGCACAAAATTAGGCTTACTTGTACAATTCCTGATCTAGGTGTTGCTGTGAATGCAGAAGCTTTCACTCTGGCATATGAACTTAGTATTCCGGACACCAGAAGTTTTGCTCAAATGCATTATTCAACAGCCTACATTAGCTTGGTCAGATCTTTTAAGTAGGTTTTATCTGTCCCTCCCACCAAGGAGCACAGAAGGGCATATTATTCTTTTCTTACCCATCTGTGCTCACAACAACTCTGCAAAGTAGGGGACATTAAAGAAAAATCACTAGCCCAAGGTTACCTGGGAAAAGACACTGTGACTTTTGGAAGAGCTTTCCCTGGTTCAGGTTGTTAGTTGGGAAGTCAGCTAGACAGATCTAGTCTCCAACTTTAACAGCAGCGGTCTCTGCAGAAGGTGGCTATTTCAGATTACCAAGAAAGGCAACTGCTGATTGTATACATAGCCAGCCAGTGTTAAGACCAAATCAAAAACTGACACTTGAAAAATTGGCAACTCAGTTCCACATTCCACGTTCCTCACATGACTGGGCACAATCTTAGCAACACGACTTGCGGCCGAGGGATGATGAAGTTATGAATGTTTAGTAAGATGTGACAAAGCTGTTTGTAATATGATCCAGTGCCCTAAAGCAAATCCATATGCAAAAAATAGACTGATGCATTCCAGAGAGTAAGTTGAAACAAATTCCATAGAACGTAACAGAATTTATGTTTGAGTGAACATGCTATTTAAGGCTTTATGTTCTAAGTGTGTTGATATAAAGATTCCAGATATACTGTATGACATTTTTGCTTGGGTTTTTCTTTTTTGAAAGTTGATTGATTATGTGCCATCAAATTGTTTTCGACTCTTAGCAACCACATAGGTTGATTTTCTCCATGACGATCTGTCCCTAGCCTGATCTTTCAGGCCTTCCAATGGTGCCCCATTGCCACTGTAACTGAGTCCATCCACCTTGCTGCTGGCTGTCCTCTTCTTCTCTTTTCTTCCACCTTTCCCAGAATTAGAGCCTTGTCCAGAGGGCTGGATCTTCACATCATGTGTCCAAAGCAGGATAATTTGAGCCTGGTCATTTATGCCTCGAGTGAGAACTCTGGGTTGATTTGTTCGATGATCCATCGGTTTGTTTTCCTGGCTGCCCAGAGTATTCTGAGGAGTCTTCTCCAATATTAAGTAATTTAGTATAAGGCTTTTCCTTCTGTCTCTCTTGACCATATATTCTTTTTCTATATATCGAACAGGCTAAGTTTTTATCTAATTTTTATATAACAATAGTTATATTGTTATATCACTACTTAGCTTATATATAGCACCAGAAATTGTTAAGCTTCTTTAAAAATATATTAATTGTAGCATTTTTGAAGTTTAATAAAATGAAAATTTAAAAAATAGCATTTCAAAAGCAATTTATACAAAAACCAAAACCTAAAATGGTTGAATAATAAACTTGTCTGGGAAGAAAATACCTTTGTCTTCCCTTCTGAAAAAAAGGGGAAATGACACATATGCAACGTAAGACTCAATCATCACAGAAAAAGGATCATTCACACAGGATATTCAAATATATTAGTTCATGACTTGTAGAAGATGGCAATGAAGTTAGGGTTCATGAACCTAGATGTTTCCAGCAAGCAACTTTCACATGTATGATTTCATGTATAGCATGCCTCCAGATAGACAGGTTCTAGCAAGATTACAACTCTTAGCCTCTTGCTTTCTTCTCAATGGACTGGAGTTTTATTTTGGTTTGGTGAAAAGCAAAGCAAAGCAAAAGAGATGGGGAAAGATGGGAATGTCACAAGAAGAAGATTTCAGTATGGGCCTATTGTATGATTTGCCTCATCAAACCAGAAGTCTTCAGGGCCATCTTTCAGTACATCCAGCTGCCATTTTTAATTTATTTATTATTAATGTAGCTGATCTACTGCCTCAATCTCAATAGGCTCTAAGGATGCCCAGATATTAAAGATAAAAAATTATACTAGAGTTATCCTAAATAAGTGACACAGCACAACACAAGTAAAACAACTCATACTGGCTCTGACAGCTACCCCATCAATCCCCAAGGGCCTGTTAAGCATCCCGCAGCCAGTGAGAACTACACAGATTTCAGGAAGGTATTTTTAATGCTGGGAAAGGGTAAATACATTATCTGGAAACTGCAAGAGAAATTTCCAACCCTCTTTTATAACAAGTGCATTAAAAGTGGAGTGTCTAGACGTTCTGAAATGCTTCTACCCAGGTTTCTTGCCATCTGGGCTGAGTTGCTGTTTGTAATATAAGCTGCCAGTTAACTCACTTTCTATCTCTTGATTGTCTATGCCCCTTCCTTCTGTAGAGAGAGAAAGGATGACCTTGATGGAGATATGCAGGAAACATTGCCAAGGCAAAAGAGGCTGAAGCATTTTTTAAGTCCAGAACAGCAAGATAGCATGCAGAAGCGGCTCAGGTGGATGCCTCCCTAAGTCATGGAACTATAAGGAGAAGGAGGAGGAACAGCACAATCAGACTGGCAAGATTCTATGATTATAGCCAATCTCAACAGAAGTGCTTTGAGCCTTCCGGTGGAGCTGATTTCCTCGTATGGTCCACCTAGTGGGACCGGCACACTCCTTTCCCAGTCTCCTCACAATTTCATAAAACGTAAGCAGCGTCCTGATGGATTGGACTGGATTGGATTGGATTGGCCCATCTAGTCCATTAGTCCGTTCTTACACTGGCCAGCCGCATGCACAAGGAAGCCTGCGAGTCTCAGAGGCAGTCACTAACCCCTAGAACTTTCCCAACTGCAATTGTCTAAAGTTGGCAACATAGTTTTCCACTATTTTAAGGTGAGAAACAAACAAAAGTAATAAGGTGAACTCTGAAATGGGCTTAGCCTGGTTGTTAGACAAAGAAGCAAACACAAATTCCCCCAGAGGGAAGAAAGAACAGAAAATCTCAATATGCATAAAACGGCCTTGTCTGCTTGATGTACCCCATGGCCCCAGCATGGCCCTCAGCTCCCCTCATCTACCCATCCATGGTTATGGATCCCTGCTCAGCTTCAGGAGTTAACAACTTTTTCTAACCCTGAGTGCAGTCACAGAATTCATGCAGTCGCCTAGGTGCCAAAAACGAAATCAATGAAAACTCATGATTGTCCAAATATTGTTGCACAGATATATTTTTCATATTTATTGTGTGCATCAGGACTGGGCAAATATTCTGGAACAAAACAATGAGGCACTTGCAAAGGGAGCAAAGGGTGTGGCTGATTGGGTCACAATGTTCCCAGCACAGATGGGATCAAAACTGTTTGCCTGTTTATTAGCACAGGATTTGCGGGAGAGTAAAAGAGTGAACGCTTGATATTTTAAGCTCCTAGAAAAGGAGGAAGGGGCCACTTTAAAGGGTTGGAAGGGTTTTAACAGTGAAATGGCTGCATCCATTTTCCCCCTCAAACCTTCAACACCATATCCCTACAATTAGACTCCCCAATCCCCCACCCACACACGATTGGTTTTTAGGAAGATCATTAACAAACCTTGTGGGCAGAATGGTTATAAGAAGTGGAGAGACCCGGTTATGATGGAATGGACTTAGGAAGGCCAGGCTCAGGGAGATAAGCATGTTCTTAGCCCCCAACAGGAGCATGGGAAGTTCAAGA